CCTAGTAGTGTACCTGTTCTCCCATAGCTTGTTGTGTCTGTGTGTTACTCCCTTTTTCTGTTCCTCAAAATAATTACTCAACCTGCAGATTCATTTTTAGATCTGCCAGAGGTATAGCACTCCTAGTGAAAGTTAAGTCCTTACATATTTCTTGAAAGTAGACATCTTTGCAGAGGAGGGAGATTCTGTAAATGCCTCCTTTGAACTGACGAGTGCAGATCTAAGCTCATTCAGCTCCAGAGAATTCTTTGAGGAGACGGCCCTTTTGTAAATACCAGGAAAGACTTCTTTACCATACTCAGTCAACTGCAACTGACAACCTGTAGGAAATCAGACCTTGTTAGCTCTGGTGCTCACAATTTAAGAGGGGCTGAAAATTATCTGGCTGAAAATAATCACCTCTAGGCCTGATTGAAAGGTTTGGGGTGCTTTAGGCTGGGAAGGACACTCACCACTCAGCAGCTTGAATTGTCACACTGGTATTTCATTTTCCATCTTCCCCTCCACAGAGATGCAGTATGCATGAGTAAATTAGAAAGTGGGAGAGGTATATTCACTTCCTGTCGTTTGTTGTACTTCATCTTCCTGCTCTGTATAACGGGAGAAAAATTGAAGTGGTATTACAATGCTGGGGAAAAAATGTCATTGAAGGGTTCAAAGATACTGCATGATGAAACAGGTCACAAGTAGGGTAGAAGGAAAAGAATCACAGGCATGCCCCTTATTTGAAACTGATTTGGTAACAAAAGCAGCAGGTGTCCTTTGAATGTCAAAATCAGTGACAAAAACAAGCAGTTTGTAGCTGTGTTTTTGTATTTAGGATATGTTAACAAACCATGTAGTTGTGGATATGCATGTGGAAAATACAAAGTAAAAACATGTTTCTTAGATTCATATTATAGATAATGAGCATATTCCACCAAAGTATCTTCTATAACCCACTATGCATTTCTGCAAACATGTCTGAGATGCCTGTTGATCACTTATGAAGTCTTTCATAAATCCAACATTACTGTAGTGTGTCAGCCCCTTTTCTCTTCTACCCTTGCTGTCTTTTTACTTAGTTCTTAAGGTACCAACAAAAAATTATGCTTTGTTTTTCCCTATTTCCTACTCCAGTTCTCAGCATTCAAAGGAAAAAATGAGAAATACAGCTAAACAATTGGTTCATATTGCTAAACATCAAATATTAATAAACAAAACTTCCAGTTATTTAAGTTTATATTAATAACTTGAGAACGTCTGTTTTTACCTAACATATCTTGGTATGTAGGATATCCATTGCTCTGAAGTCTAATGGCTCTGTTGCCTTGTGTCTTACTTAATGACACTGCTCCTGCTCTTTCCAAGGTTCCAGCGCTTCTTTAATTCTGTCATTCTTGGGACTTCTTCCATCTGTTTAGAAGATCTTTGCTCCTTCATTTTTTTAATTGTGAATTTCACAGTTGTTTCCCTGGATTACTCTTTTTTTCCTCTGCTCTCACTGCCTCTTTTTTTTTCTGATCATATAATTAGATCTGCCTGTTGGCCACTTTCCATGTCAGTTTTAGAGTTTTAGGACTTTATGGCAATTTTTATACCCTTCTGGATGTTTCAGTCTTTAAACTAGTATGACGCAAGGGCTGAAGAAATCTTTCTTTATATCTTTCTTTGTTATTCCTCCCCAACTCACAAATCCACATTTTCCTCTCTTTCAGTGGAACCTCTTTGGTTTTGTTTCTTTACTTGTCTTCACCCATCAGATTTTGCCAATTTTGTGATCCATTTCCTGTAAGATCTGCCCTTCCTCTCTCTCCCATTTCCAGGTGTTTATTGTGTCTCATGTGCAGTACTGCAAATACCTTCATTCTGCTAATAAATGTAACCTTCGGAATAGTTTATATTACATTGATAACAACACTTAAGACCGGTAGAAGTACTGAGCAGGGGGGGGTCAGACAATTTTTAATCATACTATTTGAACTAGTCTTTTCATAACTCATGCATTCACCAATCCAGAGAAGAAACTGGCTCTTCTGAACTCTTTTTTTCTTGCTTCCTGTTCTTTGGTCTTCCTTTATTTTTCCTGTAGAATTACTGCTAGTGTGGAGAAGTACTTTCTGAGGACATGGTGCATACTGCTGTATTTATGGTGGAGGTTTTGGTGACCATAAATAGTTACCTAAGCTGTCTCTGGGCGGTCTGGTGGGTGGGCAACCCAGTCATGAGATTCTGACTTGGTGAATGTGTGAATTGTGAGATTGGTGATTTTACAGGTCAGACAAACTTGCTCTGTTATCCTGCTCAGAATTACCATCCAGTACTCAGCGTTGCTAAAGTTAGTGCAGTTATTTATAGCAATTAATTCAGCATGTAATTTCTCAAATGAAGGCCTGAATCAGTAAATACATCAAGAAGCATGAATAAGCAGACAGTTTCTTTAAGTTGTGGTTGCTTCTATGGTACAGTATTAAAGCAGTGACTTGCATAGACTGATAACTGTGCTGTGCTCTGAGTTTTCTTTTATAAATGCTTTCCTGAGCAAAGCTTTGTCTGGCTGCGGTCTTAGCTGTATTCATTTTTCTTTCTGTTGTTAATGTTGTTTTACAGATCCTTAAGAATAACTGGCTTTGTAATCATGACCAATAGTCACTGCTCAGTAATAAAACATACACTAAAGGAAACCTACCTGCATTAAAGTTTTATATACTATTGTCCTTACATAAGGTGGTTTTAAACTTTGGCGTCAATGGATGCTTAGCATTTTAAGCAACTTTAGCACTCTGTTTCCTGGTTGCCCTTAACTTTAGAATGTTACTTGCTTTTGGACTGCAATCTTCCAGGACTAGCTTCTGGACATAGGTGAATATTTTAGCAGTTTTTAAGTCAGACATTGAGGTAGGGATTTGATTTTATGAAGAATACATCCCTAGTGGTTTTCCTGTTTGTTTGCTTTTAAACATTGCTGTAACTTAAGCACTTGGGAAATTTAGATTGGAACAGCCTGTCTTAAAAGAAATAGCAATAAATGTGATTTTGATTTAATGAAGTTTTGGGGTTGCTTGTTTTCTAGTGTAAATGCCACAGTACAAGTCCTATTTGCACTGGCATTCCACATCTGCAACCAGAAACATGCATACATGGTTTATTTCAGTTTTATGCATATCAGCAGGCTGAAATGATTGGTTTGCATCAGTAGACCACTTCTATCCTTAAGGTTTGCATTAGTGCAGCTGTACCCATGTTGAAATTATATATGTCTGTATGAACAAAGGAGCCCTCAGCTGCAAATATGTGGAAGATACATGCTATGAATGTGCACTTTATACGCTCTGCACAGTTAACTTCATGATGTAATTATAGTTAAGATGCATAATTCTGGAGCAAGCACCCATATACATTTTTCAGCAAGTTACTTAAAACATTGGGGATTTAATTTAAGGTTTTGTGTACTTTATCTTTTTCTTAACAGAGAGACCAGTGGAATTGTTTGGACTCATTTTGTTTAAGGTGTAGCCCTCCTCCATGACTGAACAGGGAAGTTAAGAGTGCAGTTAGCCTTTATGTGCTCTTATTGTTGCCACCTACAGCTTTTTATTAGTAACATGCAATTGTTCTGCTCTGTTATGTAAAACACTTTTTTTTTTTTCTTTTTTGTAATTTGCACATACCTAAAAATTCTGTTACTTAAGACAGAACTCGGGCAACCTGACATTCAGTTTGAATATGACTGAGGGAGAGGCAGAGGTACGTTTCAGGGAACAAGCAGCAGACTGTAGGGGATTGTAGGAGGCATAAGATACTGCTTTGGTGACTGGAGAGAATTCCAGCTTCAAGTCTTTCCTCAGTGCAGTAGGTTGAAGGGAGCTGTGTATGTTGTGCAGAGAACATGCTGACTGCCGCTTCTTCAAGCAGAGATTGCTAAAGCACTGACCATGCACTTAGTATAAAATCCCACCTTTTTTTAGAGAATAGGAATCAGAGTTGCATTTCATGCTACAGGGGGATATCAAATGGACTGAGCTTTTATTTCACTACACTTTTGGTAAAATTTCACCAGTTCTGTTTTGCAGATGGACTGTTCCAACAAAATCGGCATAGAAACTGGCGTATTAAAGTAAATGCTCTATATTCAGGGAAATTTCCTCTTCAGATGGTTTCTTCCCCCTTCTCTCATCTCACACTCTTTGACATTCTGTGGGAAAAATGAGCTCTGTCGCTTTACTTTGTGGCATAATTGTTGTGTTAACCAGACCATTTATTCTTTGTCAGTTAAGAATTATTCCAAGGTAAACACTACAATCTTTAGCTCAGCTATACTTTGGCTCCTGCAGACTTTTTTTTTTTGCCCTTTAGTCCTGAAAATCTTTTGACGTCAGTTCTACAAGTATCTGGTGTGTTATGAGGACCATGTAGTGTTTGCAGTGTATGTTTACAGAGAGCTTCTGCAGCCTGTTGGTTGGGTACTTAGTACTGGTATTTTCTTGGCTGTACATTACTCACTATAGGGTAGCTTTACTTAACTGTAGTTTTGAAAACATCATTAGCGTTTGAATTTCTTTGACCTTTAAATATGACAAAGTTATCCTGTGATATATTTACGTCAAGAGTTTTTTCACTGGAGCTTTCCATTAACAGCAGGATCTTGGTTTGATTTGTTTAGGCATCATAATCTTGGGCTGGAGCATTAGCTTCACCCCAGAGAGAATAATTTGTATACATATAGCACAGCTGCACTGAAGGCATTATATAAAACAAGCTGAAACTTTGAATAATTACTGTCCAGTATTATATTTGCATATGTCCACATTGCAAATAGTTTAAAAAACTGACAACAATGGAATTTTAAAACAACCTCCATTCATCTACTCCCCAGATGAAAACTTTGTGGCCACCACAGGACAAAATACAAATTCTGTGCTCAAGTCAGGAGCAATTAGGCTTGGCTAGACAATGAGAAAAATCTCCAAACTGTTTAAGCCATAAAAGTGGAAAAACCAGAACGTTATGTTTTATTGTAGGTTCGGGAACTGCAAACACGTTTGCAAAGCGTGCAGGCAACAGGTCCATCCAGCCCAAGCCGTCTCACTTCTGCCAATCGACCCATTAACCCCAGCACGGGAGAGCTGAGCACAAGCAGCAGTAGCAATGACATTCCCATAGCCAAGGTGAGCTATTGTGTGTTGCAGTAACGCTTCTCATTATCTGGGAGAAGCAGGCTTCATTTTGCACAGCTGCTATGCAAGCATGTGATTAACTGGGAGATATCTAGAATCCCCAGAGAGTTTTTTGGGGTCCTAAGTAGGTCCATGAACTTGAGCTGCAGAAAGGAATTAAGCGCTAATGATTGTAATTCTCTCAGTTAAAACACAGGTGTTGATTTTACGGTAGTTTACTTTGGGTTTGCAAGTGTAGCTAATGAACAAATGCATTTTGTGTAATCTTTATGGAGTGTGAGTTCCTGTGTAACATGTGCAGCATTCTGACTTACAGATTGCTGAAAGAGTGAAGTTGTCAAAGACAAGATCAGAGTCTTCATCATCTGATAGACCTGTCTTAGGATCAGAGATCAGCAGCATAGGGGTAAGGACTAATAATTATGTGCATGCATGACACCTGCTGAAGATGACCCATGTTCCATTAAAAGCAGCATTGTTTTCTTACTAAATAAATATATGAACTAATTAAACATACTTTAGAGGTTATTTTGAGAAAAATATTTCAACAGAGAATATTTCACCCAGTGTTAACATCTTATTTTCTCATAACTGGTGGCTGGAAATCATTCTCTGAGTGACTTCAAGAGGATAGTTTTGGAGTGAATTCCTCCAGAACATTATTCTTCAAGAAAAGACTGTTCAGTTGCATTTCTCAACTTCCAGTCAGCAGAGAACTGGTTTCTGCTTTGTAATGCCAATGTAAATCCATAACGCTGTTGTTACTGTGTGTTAATTGTTTCACTGAAGAACTTAGCTCTGACCTTTTGCTAAGCTTTCAAGCAAGTAAATAACTTGCAAAATAGGCTTTTTAAATGTATGATGAAATAGTGGGCTTCACCCTTTAGTTAGTAGAATGCTAAATCAAAATAGCTACTTAAAGTGGAAACTTGTAAATGTTCTACTCAATGTAAAATTCATAGTAAAAACTGAATAATGAATGCCTTGAATGAGTGCATGCAAGCAAATGCAGCTCTCAATGCAGACTGCCTATGGGAGGAATCCAGTGGTTATCTATTCACAATGATCTGTTAACTGCCCTATGCAGGTGTCTAGTACTGTGGCTGAACATTTGGCACATTCCCTCCAAGACTGCTCAAACATCCAGGAAATCTTCCAGACTCTTTATTCTCATGGATCTGCTATCTCTGAAAGTAAAATCCGAGAGTTTGAAGTGGAGACAGAGAGATTAAATAGGTAATGTGAAAAGTTAGATACGCTCAAATGTGTTGTCTGCTATTAACTTTGTTAAAGTTACTACTTTTGTATTCTTTTTAAACATTTCTTAGTTCAGTCCCAGCTCAACTGTGGTAGCTGCAGATAAACATGGGATGTAGTTGATGAAGAGAAGATTGAATCGTACGCTAAGGATTCTTTCCATTAGCATGACAGTTTGGTCATGCATTATTAGATCAGCATGGCACCTTCACCTGTGACAGCTTGCACTGTAGAGTGTCCTTCTCTGTGGCTGACCAAGTAGGCATGGCGTCTTGTTACATCACTGCTAGAAATAAGGATTACCATAACTTATCCTCCATCATTTGGGAATTAGTTTGCTTTGTTTTGTCCTGAAGAAACAGAGTTATAGCATTAACTGTATCAATGAATGTACAGATGTATATATACCAGTAAATAGACTCCTATCTGCAGAAGAAAGATTGCAGCTTTCTGGTTGCAGTTAAAATGCTGCTGGTGTTATTCTTCAATAAGCTCTGTCAAAACCAGTGCTTCCTGTCCTCTTTGGCACATAAAATAAAAACTGTGGATCGGGAACATGAGAATCCTATCTCAGCATGTTTCCGTCCAAGTTCTCTCTTCCCCACAGCTATCTCAAATTCAGACTGATCAGTACAATATCTCTTTTATTTGTAGCTCATGTTTTTGCAATGCTGCAAAATGTGCTCTTTTTTTCTTTCTTTTTTCTTTTTTTTTTTCTTTTTTCTGTGCACTGCACAATTATGCTTTGACAACATGTATCCTTATAGGAGGTGTCAAAGAAGATATAGGAGGTGAAGCATCTGAGAGTTCTAGCAGTTAGGAAAGTCAGGGCTTTATTCTGATCACTGAAAAAATGGTATACTAGTCCTTCTTCTTCTTGTGTGTGTTAAGAAGTCAGTGATTTTAGAGTTCTGGATGGCACTGATTTCTTCATTAGCTACCTGTCCAAATTTTGAAATCATTTGCCTCTCTGTTTTCGGTGTATGTCTAACTCTTACAATTAAGCATAGTACATTGATGTGTAGTGCAGTTATCAGCAGTGAGAATAAACAGTAATACTGATATTCTGAAGCCTCATTTTCAGATTCAGAGTTAACCTCATTGAGAAGAATATTACAGTTAAGTTCTGATATGAGTTTCTGTTTGAGTATTAGCAGTGCTTTTGGAGATTTCATTGCCTCATTGAAACTTCATTCGTATTTTGGAAGTTACCTCTCTAATCACAACCAAAATACTACTTCAGGTGAAACAGTTATTCTGGATGTTCCAAAGAAAGGGGGCATTTATGCAGCTGCATGATCCCTACACATACCCACACATTGTACTAATGAATATGCCACTTAAAAAGCAAATGTGGCAGCAGAAAGTGAGGGATGGAGGCAGAAAAATTAAGCAAAAGGTTAATATGAAACTGTACTACACAATTTTGTGTCTACAAAATAAGGGTACAGCTTGCTGCTGTTGCACAGGGTTATGATTACATTTTATGAGAAGGAGAAGAGGCTGTCCTAAGAGAAATTACTATCCTCTTGGCTCTTGATATGGGACACAGAACTGATATATTTTGCCATCTTCATTAAAAACCTTGTGTAGACCAAATGGTATTTGTTGTTTTAAATTATGATTGTTCTAGAGTTTTCAGGACAGTGTCTGCAAGCTAAGCTTGAAGGTTGCAAATTACTTCCTTTTCTACAGCCGTATTGAGCACCTGAAATCCCAGAATGACTTGCTGACAATAACACTGGAAGAGTGCAAGAGCAATGCCGAGAGAATGAGCATGCTTGTTGGGAAGTACGAGTCCAATGCCACAGCCCTCAGGCTGGCATTGCAGTACAGGTACGTACCTACAGAGAGGGTGTCTCAACCAGAAAAAGAGGGAGCAGGGGAGACTTGATAGAGTCTTTGAGAGTGAAATTGTTGGTGTGCCATAGTAGTACTGTTTCTTTTCATGTCCTCCCTGGAAAAATGCCGCTTTGGCTAAACTACTTGCCAAACTACAGAGCTGAAGTTACTGATACAAGTGTATTTCAACCCTAGTTCACCAGCAGTAGTGAACTCAATCTAATAGAAATATACAGATTTATTTTTTTATTTTTAAATACTGAATTAATACTTGAATTAGGGATTTTATGTAGGCTCGAAATGTCTCTACTGTATCCAGTCTTAAGATACAGGTTCTCTGTATTAGGCTGGCACCTTTCACAAGACCAGTGGACCAAAAAATAGTATTATACTCCACATAATTCAGAGTGACTTCATATTACATCAGTTGGAATGTGGATGAATTGCTTGGTATTTGATTACAAGTATCTAAATTTGCTTTAAACTATATGTAAAAAGATGGTTGTGTTTAACTCCTTCAACTGCAGCTAATTTGGAACAGGCAGTTCTGGTCTTAAGGTAAATTGTGTGCCTTTTAGAGAATGTATTCTGTTACTATCAGCCTTGAGCAAATTACAAGAAAATGTAAATTGCAAGTAGCTATATTAATGTATATATTTTCAAAAACATGAGAATGCAACAGGAATGAGTGACTCACAACTGTATTTAGAAGCTGTTGTGTTTTAAGGAGGAAAACCTTACAGCCAGGAGACAGCAACAAGTATTTTTCTTGTCTTTTCTTCTTACTATACTTTGTATAGTATAGGTATATAGTAGAGTATAGACTACTGTATTTTGGGTAGTAAGAAGGCCTGCAAAAGTTTCTTAAAGGGATCATGTCAACCACCATTTGTACTGTTGACTGTTTCAAACATGCTTCTGGAGCTCACTTCACATCTTCTCACTTCATTCTCTTCTGTTTTAACTTGTTACATTACTTGAGGCCAACTTGGGACCATCGTAAAGAAGGAGAGACTTGAATGCTTGTGATAGAAGCTATGTGTGTTTTGTCATTTAATATCCCTGCTGCTAGACAAGTAGTAGGGAATCATGCAGTTCATCAACTACCTCTTCTTTTTTGTTGCTGTTGCAGGTATTCTTCCCCTCTAAATTGCAGATATATTTTGTGTAATTTTTGCTTTCTGTGGTTTGTTTTCTCTTTCAGTGAACAGTGCATAGAAGCATATGAGCTGCTGTTGGCATTGGCAGAAAGTGAGCAGAGTCTCATTCTTGGGCAGTTCAGAGCTGCAGGTGTTGGTTCTGTTGGTAAGATGTCAATGAATCACTTTATTTAAGGGGTTTTTTTTGCATGTCAGTTATCATTAGAGTTAGTTGTAATGGTGAATCATCTCATAACCCATCACTTAAGAATGCTCTCTGGTCTTTTCTTGGTTTTAACTAATTAAATCATTTTACACGCCCAAAAAATAGGGGAAAAGAAAAAGAGAGACTGGCATTAAATCATAAAATTCACCAGCAATTTAAATTAACCTATGTATACTATCACAAGGGAATGCCTATTCTGGCAGTGGTGAGGGTGCTACAGGCATGCAACTGTACAGAGTGGAATATTAAACGATACTCATGAGCATATGTGGCTTAGGGCCATACAGCTGTGGTAACTGCAAGTACAGATTTTGTTTGAACCAGCAACATTGACCAACCCCTGTATCTTGAGTATAGTCTATGAAAAACTAGGACTAAGACAATACAAAGGTAGCATTGAGTAGTTACCAAAAAAATGGCTCTAATTTTTCACCCCACATTTTACCTTTGCTCTGAAATTTTAAAACATTCTATCTTATGTTTTACTTTGTTGTCAAGGATGTTAGCCTATATGTTCTGGATTTTTCTTATTTTGTGGGTAGTGAATCTTGTGGCTAGTTGGTTGTGGTTTTTAATATGCTACTTGCCAAGTAATGGAATGAGCCACTGTCACAGGTACAGTTCAGAAGTGTTTGGAGCTTGATGTTTCTGCTGGCTTCACTTTTGTGATAGAAAGAGGTGTTTACACAATGAACACTAATCTGGGTTTTATAGTCCCATTCCTTTCACTGATAGGAGAAGGTAGCCATAGTAATCTTCAAGTAGAAAGAAGAGAAACTTTCAGAGGGAGAAGAACAGCTCTTTGTGCTGTGTGGAGGCATAGTGACTGCCTGGTTGAGACAGTATTATAGGGCTAGCTGCTCAGGAATCACTGAAATGTAAACGGAAAGCTTTTAGAGACAGAGTGACCATCTGGCTTTAGAGCCACAGGACTGCCATGGTCAGCCTCTTGTTTCAGATGATTAGATGCACTCAGCCCACAGTCGCTGTACTGCTAACCATGCCCCTTATTTTGTATCTCTCCCAGTGCTGGAAGCTCGCCCTTATGTTGCTGTGTTGGCCTGTGCAGTGTGTGCCATACACTAAACATTAGAGTGGATGTCTGAGATTTTCATCCACCTTTCTTCCAGACTCTGGTTGTTCCTTTCCACAATGTGTTAGGGAGCTTTCCCTGCTGACAGAGATCAATGGCCAGCAAAAGTGAATTTAGTCTTGGATTTTCTATTCACATAGGTGGCAGAAAGAAATCTTAGAAGGGAGAAATACTGTGGGTTTGAGTAAGGTTTCATCTCATGTGCATTTTATGAAAGAGAGTGTAGTTTAGTTTTTAGATAGGTGTCTGTCTACAGCTCTTAATTATGGTATTATCAGTTACAGCCCTGCAATAGAAATAGTGCCAATTTCCTATTACATAACACAGCTTGGAGGAAGTTGTGTTTGGTTTATGTACCTTTACTTCACCATGAAATTTGATTAAAACACCTAGATAAAGTAGCAGATTTTTGGTTTAAAGATCAGTCAAGTTTTATATCAACATCTGTGAGTGCAAAATTCATGGAAGTTGCTTCTACATCACTTAGACCTGAGCATATCCAGCTGCTCTTAACGGAACATTCTCCCTTCCTTTCTTACACATTAATGTTATTTCTAGTGCATGCACTTTGCTTAGTAAGTGTGAAGTATGGGTAATTTGTCTTTGACTCAAGTAAGGATGAAATGAAAATCTGACATAGAGAAACTGTTTTTTTTTTATATTCTCTGACGTCTTTGCATTGTATTTGATAAAGTATGAATGTATTGTCGCTTTGTTCAGACTTTCAGTGTAGCCACTAATGTGTCTTTAACGATTTGACTCCAGCTGGAGTTAGGATTACAGTAGTGACAGTGGTGGTTTCTGTCTTGCCTCTGCTGAAGGGATGTGTTACCAGCTGCATAGATGCTGCATAACCACTAGAAATTATAGCAAATGAATAAACTCCAGTGCTAGTTTTCTTTTGTTTTAGTATGCATGACTGTAAACTCTGAAAGACTGTAAATTCTGAAAGGCTGCTTCTAAGCAGTAAGGCAATTCTTCCAGCTGGAAAGGTTACCTGTAAGAAGGTGTTCTGGTGAACAATTAGGCTTGAGATAAAGGTTCTTGTGAGAAAATTCACTGGAAATGACCACACTGTGAAACAGCACTGGATTGATTGGAGTAAGAGTTGTAATTTAGGCTGAGGCTTTTCCAGTGTATTATTAATTTGAGCATCCTAACCTAATCCTAATGCACAATGCACACCCTTACAAACACACAAGCTACCTAAGATAAAACGTCACTTAAGACATGTACCCGGAGCAACAAATACCTGGAGCTTGTGGCTGGGAGGGAGATGTATTCAGGCTAGTAGCCCAGTTACCACTGATGCTCACACAGAAGTGAAGCTGCTTGTACATCACCGACTGGTAACCTGTTGTCATCATCTTGGTATAAACTGAGAGCACATAGAAGCACTTTTGCCTTAATTTCTCTCACGCTCCTCAAAGCTCTGAAACAGATTGTTTGCTTGAAAACTAGGGGACCAGACAGGTGATGAAAACATCACCCAGATGCTTAAGAGAGCTCATGACTGCAGGAAGACAGCTGAGAATGCAGCAAAAGCCTTGCTGATGAAACTAGATGGGAGCTGCGGAGGAGCTTATGCAATCACTGGCTGTAGCGTGCAGCCCTGGGAAAGCCTGTCATCCAACAGCCACACAAGGTAACTGCAACTTATCTGCTCTCCTAATCCCCAAGTGTTTGATTTCAGACCAAAAGTTATGTTGTACTGTGTTTGCTGAACTAAGAGCAAAGGTCCTGCACAGGGGTCGGGGCAATCCCAAGCACAAATACAGGCTGGGTGGAGAATGGATTGAGAGCAGTCCTGAGGAGAAGGACTTGGGGGTGTTGGTTGATGAGAAGCTCAACATGACCCAGCAATGTGTGCTCGCAGCCCAGAAGGCCAACCATATACTGGGCTGCATCAAAAGCAGCGTGACCAACAGGTCAAGGAGATGATTCTGCCCCTCTACTCTGCTCTTGTGAGACCCTCACCTGGAGGACTGCGGCCAGCTCTGGGGCCCCCAACATAAGATGGACATGGAGCTGTTGGATTGAGTCCAGAGGAGGGCCGTGAAGATGATCTGAGGGCTGGAGCACCTCTCCTGTGAAGTCAGGCTGAGAGAGTTGGGGTTGTTCAGCCTGGAGAAGAGAAGGCTGCGGGGAGACCTTACAACCTACAAAAAAGCTGGAGAGGGACTTTTTGCAAGGGCATGTAGTGATAGGACAAGGGGTAATGGCTTTAAACTGAAAGAGGGTAGATTTAGATTAGATATAAGGAAGAAGTTCTTCACTGTGAGGGTGGTGAAGCACTGGAACAGGTTGCCCTAAGAACCTGTGGATGCCCCATCCCTGGAAGACTTCAGGGCCCGGTTGGATAGGGCTTGGAGCAACCTGGTCTAGTGGAAGGTGTCTCTGCCCATGGCAGCGGGTTTGAATTAGGTGATCTTTAAGGTCCCTTCCAACCCAAACTATTCTGTGATTCTATGAACTACCTCCCTCACATCAGTCCACTGGCTTCTTTGCTTTGATTTGTAAGTCACCACGCCTCAGTGGTCTAATGGTCTTTAGACTTTGAGCAACTCCAGCCAAGAAGGGTGTTGTATAAATTTATTGCAAGTGGGTGACTCTGAACTTTGATCTTCCTCATAAAGGGCAAAACTATTACATTTGTTTTACATCAGTGACTTTTGCTGTTTTATTGGAACTCGAATCATGTACTTCTCATTCATATCTATTGTATGCAGACAGCACAGACGTACAGAGAACCAGAGATCAGAAGTATGCTTCCATAGGCGTTCTGGAGTGCTCAGAAATTGTTTTCTAAATGTTGCAAATCCAGCCATTTTGTTTTAAGCCATTTCCTCTCCCTTCTCATTCCCCTGTGCCCCCTTCTAAATTCTTCCTTCCCATGCTGTTCTTTCACATGTGGAGTGGCAAATGAACATCATGACAGGCAGAGTGGATTCTTCCAGGAAAGGCTCGATATTGCAGTTTTTCTGAAGACCTATAAAAAAGTGAAACTTCAGTGAGCTATTATTGCAGAAGTGTTCCAATTCAAATACATCTGCTAGCAACTTCATTTTGAGTCGTTGCCTGCCTGCAGTGTAATTGTACTCTGTGCAGTGAATATGTGTGCTTGTGTATGGATACAAAATTGGCAAGCATCCTGGATAAATATAGATGAACATTTTTCTTTTTAAAAGTTATTTTGGTTTCTCAGATTCACTCTCAAACTTCATTTTAATTCAGTTTTTGAGCCAGTTCTTTATTCAAATGCTGTCATTTTTTTGACACTTTTAGAAGTTTATTTTAGTACTATATCATTTCCTCTTCTTGCTGATGCCTCCTCCAAAGGATCTTATTTCCTGCCATGTGACTAGCATGGAATAGCTAAAAAGCAAGCAAAAAGGTGACCTGAGGGAACAGGGTCCAAATGTGCAGTGAATTTTAATGTTTTTTCAAAGAAGTTTTATGGTGCACTTTCAGTCCCAGAAAGTTGTATCTTTATTCAGAAATTAATGTGGCAGCATCTGCGCTAGCAACACATTGATCAGTCATTGTACCAAAAGTATTTACTGGCCTTGGAAAGAAGTTTTACAAAGCTGTTTCAAATACTTGACTTGCCTCAGTGTGCATGCATGTATGCTGTATCTACACCTGTGTGAACATGTTGAGTGGCCGCACATAGCAACACCTCTACCTAGGCTGAGCTTGTTTTCCATTCTATTATTTGAAAGCGTCATTTTTGGTTGTTCATAACTACCTCAGTGTTTCAGCTCCTTGTGAGATATCTGGTATGTAGTCAAGGCATTATTTTTTTTTCTTGAAAACAGTTTAGGTAGTTTCCAGTAATGACGGGCGGGAAATTGGCAGGGGGAGCGGGGTCTAGGGTGGGAGTGGTGTTCTTGTTTTAGTGTTTATTCTCCTTGCCTTTCACTGAAAGTGTTTGGTAGGAATATAGCCTTTACAGTCCTTGCTTTGTTGAACATCATTTTTGGTTTTTTTGAGGGGGAGGATAAGGAAAGGGAGGTGTGTGCATTTGGGGAGGAAAATCATCCCTCAAGCTCATTGTTTATCGTGAACTTTTGGTGGTCAGCTGGCAATGTGTGTATGTGTGCACGTAACATATTGGCTGAATGGATGAAGTTTCAGCAGAGTGTGATGAAAATGGTATAGGATTCCAAATTTCATCAGTGTAAACTGTGTCATGAAATGTAAAAATGCAAATGTAGATGCTTCTGTGTGCAAGAGGGATGTTTTAGCTTGAGTCATTATCATTGTACGATAATTCTTTTATGGCATGGAGCAAGGTATTGTACTCAATAAGGTAACTGTTACTGTCTGCTTTGATATATGTGGAACAAGAGAGAGAAAAGCTTCTCTCGCTCACCCGAAGGGCACAGGAACTTGGCATAAGGGCATCCTGATCTTATCATCACTTATACAGTCATCCCTCCCCACCCCCCCAATCTAATTTGTCTTTGTCTAAACATACAAATCAATGAAAATATTTCTGAAACTTTAGCTTCTCCTTGAAATACAAATTTTATCTTCTTTTCTTCTGTTGTGTTCAAGTGATATGTGGTAGAGGTGTTCTCAGATTTCTCCTTCCTGTGGACCCTGTCTGAAAATAGAGGCATCCCCTCTTCATCTTACAGACACATGACACTGTGCCAGCCCATAGGTAGAAAATCCATGTTGGTTCAAAAGGCACACACTTTTCTATATTTATATCAGTAAATGTTCTATCTCATGTTTAAAAAGTTGAAGATTTTGTCTTTAACTCTCCTCTCCCTACCATTCTGGATCCTTTTTATTTCTTTCCTGGACCCTGCTCTTGCTTTTTGGAGTTATCCTCCCTATGTTCCAGCTCTCTCAACCCATTCATGCATGCTCCTGTATCACTTGGCTCCCTGCTGCTCTAGGCAGACACCTCATTGCCACAGACCTCCAGCCCTCTGATTCTTTGATGTTGATGGTTTCCATTTCCTTTCCTTTTCCATTACAATAGCAATCCAAGCAGAGATAGGAAAGCAGACTGCAAATTTCTAGCTGTTCCTGCAGGCTTAATGTTTTTTATTTGTCTTAAAGAACTTGGCAGTCTATAAAACTGGGGAGTAGAACAAGCCCACATCACTAGTGAGTGCTGTGTGAACCACCATTTGGGGACCACTGCACTGAAATGAAAACATTCTTACATTATGTGCTTCAAACATATTCTGAATCTGCAAGACTGACCTTTTGCCATAGCAGTTTTAGTGTTGCAGACTTTTAGTTGCAGATATGTATTGCTACCTTTTTCCTTTGAAACCAACTGAGTAAAGAGGTAGTGGGATGATGAGAACTCTCCTTTGCTGAGACTTGTGACAAATGAGTAATTCTCCCTGCTGTTCAAAATCCTGTAGAATAGGGACTTATAATGGAATTGTTGACCCATCCTTAGCTTTCGCATTTCAAATGAGATTCTGAATGTCAAATCACTGAACACATTACTGAGAATAAATGCTTGGTGAGCCACTGGTGACAAGTGGTTAAAGACTGTAAAAGGGAGCAACTGAAATGAAAAGAAATGAAATGCAATGAAAGAGTATCACAGAGGTTGTTACTTGTGAAGTGAATAAAAATAATAGCAAGCATCTCAACTCATTTGGCTGGCAGCAGCACAATAATGTTGCCAATTCATTTTTTGAAAACAGAAGTAGGTCTGCAGGGTAGTTGGAAGTCATAATTATTTTAATGGACAGAAGCTAACTATAGAACATATATTGCCAACAAGGTTTGACTGATTGAACCTTAAAAAGAAGGAAATAAAAGAGAAGGACTCCAGTTGTAACACTGACTGAAAACAGTGGATTTTATTCCCTGCAGTGCTAGTAAGTCCAACCTTGCATCTGGATTCATGGGGGGAAAGATTTGGTCTCTTACATGCAAAGGGAATTCTTTTCAGTATTATGCAGTGTTACAAGATATCTGAACTCGGCCAAATGTAGGACTATATCTCTCATCAGCATCACCTCAGATTTCAGATAAGTAGCTGACAGACATGATTGTCTTGGCTGAAGTGTGCAAATAAGTTATTTAGAAATATCCCAACAGATATCTTAATGTTGTCTATGTAACACTTCATTGCTGGACTGAACTAGTCTCAGAAGGAAGCAAGGTAGTTTCACCAAAAGTTCTGATTTTAGCCAAATGTACTGTTTGTCTTTCTGGAAGGTTGGAGTTATTTTTCAGTTTGTCAGGAAGTTACCTTCTTTTAGCATTGTGCTGTTTTAGATCTCAAGCCACAACATTCACCTAGAAGGTGGTTGGCCCATGTATACTGTGTATCAGATGCATTCTTTGAAGTGCAAGGTTGTGTGCAGACATTCAAGCAAGTTTTGTGGATTCAGTTCTCAGAACATTGTTTTAGTTTTATCAACTTTTGTATTATCTATGCCATTGCTGAATTGCAGATTTATTTATTGACTTGATTTTTAACACATGAGCTGAAGCTTATACAGGATTTTGTGGACAAAATTTTGTAGCATACAGAAGTTACTCACACAGAGGCACTGTTGGAAGCCTCATTTATATCCATCCACTGCATTCTATACACACACATGTGCATGCGAATACACATGCATGCCAGCAAATAAAACTGCACGTTATACTGTACCAACCTACGTATTTTCCACAGGCTGTATATGAAAATTAACTTGACATCATCCAGGCATGACATCATTGTAAAAGACTTGAGGGATGAAGTGAGTGGGAAGAACATTTCTCTTTGCTTGTTCTGTATACAACAGCAGTTAGAATGAGCAGAGTGATGTTGTATTCCCTCCAGGTGTGATGAAATTGTGATCCTTTCTCTATCCTTGCCTACATGCCTGAGAAATGAGAAACTGCACATCTTTTGCAACAGTTTCATGTGTTTTTTGGATGGATGCATTATACTCCATATGCATTCTGTCAGTCTGTTTTCCTTTGTCTTGATTGCTGTTAGAAGGGAGAGCAGTATCTGAAATCCAGGATCATATGCTCACCAGCTGTGGACCCTTAAATAGAGCAGCAAAGGACTAGCATTATGGCTGTGGAGAGCTGTATGGTGGGGCTTTTGAGGGATCACACCATGGCAGAGCTGTGCTGTGGGAGTTCAGAAACACTGCAGCGTTGTTTCTGTCCCTCATCGTGCAGCCTCATTTTTACAACAGCCCAAAGTGGGCTTTGTACCCCAGCTTTCTGCAACCCATGCTCCTTCCAGTCTTCTGGGTGGGGGCTTGCTGCTAAATGTGGGGGGGAAAGGGAAGGTTCTTGTCTCTTTTTGTGCTGAGACAGCTTCCTCACTAAGCTCCCCTCACCTTCTTTAAAAAAAAAAAAAACAGAAAAAAAAGAAGAAGAGCAGCTTGCTAGCAATTCACCAGAGGAGCCAACTCAGCTGCAGACAGACAGGCAGGCAGGCAGCCAGGACTGAAGTAAAAGCAGCCTGAGTATCATTGGCAACAGCCCAGACTGCCTTCCTCAGTTTGGACTGCTCTCCCCTAAAATATACATGCATAGCCATGGATCTTTAAGGGCCAAAATCTGTGAATATCCAGTGAGTACAAGGTCCAGCACAACATAACAATAGACTTCCAGCATTTTTGCTCAGGTTTCACTCCCAGCAGGAGAGGTAGGTTTTCTTTCCTTTGCAAGCGAAAACTGAGATGAGCTCTTTGTGTCCCGAGATTTGAAGCCTGTGTAGGTTTTAAAAGCTGTGCTTTCTCCAACACCAGCTGTTTTAGATTTAATCCAGAAAAGCTGTGCAATTGCTGTCTTTGGGTGCTGAGGAAACTTGCAACATAACTTCAGTATAAAATTAAGTATTTCTCACATTGTCTGTCCCCATGATTTTTGTATCAATATCTACTTCAGAGTGGTATCTTTAGACTCAAGATTTATTAAGTGTTTCAAGATTCTCTAAATGAAGAACTAAGTATGAACAAAAATTTGTTTCAACAAACCAAACAACTTTGTTTCAACCCTTTTTGAAAGGGTTTCTATGTAATGTAGGTACTAGGTGGTTTTAGCTTCACTGCAGATGGAAATGGATGAAAACAAAAGCAAAGACCAGTTTACGTTTGTGGTAAATATGGCACCTATTATCCCTAAGAAAAGGAAGGAATAGTGGTAAATTGACAGAGAACTGTAGTAAAGAACTGTAATGCGATATTTCATGAGAGGGAAGGATTTTGAGAAATCTTTGTAGACGTGCCAATTCTCCATCTACTCCAAGGCTGCGCTTGGAATTTGTGGGAAGATTTTGTGGCAATTATTTGAGGCACTTAAAAATCAGTGTAGCTTTAACTGAAGTAGAACCAAAGGAAAAGAGAAAAATCAACCCTATCTTGACAGGCTTCCCCTTTTTCACATGCATAATATATTTTAGGACATCATCCTGACTCTCACAGCATGTAGCGGGTGGGGCTTTTTTTCTTCCTACAAAAATGTTGAACAGCAGTGCAATTTGATACAGAAAGTGATTTATTCCCCTGCTGATAACTGAGATCATCTAGCATTCCAGACAAGCACAGTTAATGGATGACTTAGCCCTCACCCGGCAGCTGATTACAGGACCTCAGGAGACAGCAGGCAGCTTTGAGTGAGGTTATAGAAACAACACAGCATTTTATTTTCCTTTTAGTGTTATTGCAACTATATTCAGCCCTGGAATGCTATGGCTGTATCTGTCTCGACCCCCTGCAGCACCGGCATGCGTGTAGGTGGATAGGCAAGCACTGAGCCACCCTTGCTGTAAGACATTAGTTCTCCCTTTCTGTGATCTCTGTGTAAACATTTGTGGGGCAGACTAATGGGCAGTCATTTGTTTGATGCCTGTAGATAGGAGAAGTTCCGCCAAGTCTGATGATGACTTTTTATTAAAAGTCCTGCTAACTCACGGGTTGTTTTAAAACCCCTCCAGCCCTGAAGGAATGTCAGTGTACTGAGGAATACACCTTAACATGAATTGAAAGATACTGCCTCGTGGCATCTGCCCATGGAGTTTTGCTCAGGTTGATTCCTACAAGTATCCGTTAAAAATATCTGAGATGATAACTGGTATTGCCATCAGCAGAAATAAATGAAGTCTGGCCTGATTCTTTTTTCTTAGCAGATGCTTCTTCCCAAAGAAGATGAAGACTCTGTGGCTGAGTAGCAGAGAGAAGCTTGCCCTGCTAGGGTATTGCTAAGAAATCTTAAGTAGCTTTTTTTTTTTTTTTAAATTAAAAGAAAGACTTATTTCAGAAGACACTGTTCCAGAAAATATAATTCAGTTACATGGCACTACATATCTGACTTTGCAGAAAAGTTATCATATGATTCAATTTTCTCATGCAGCTTAGAGAATTAATTTCTTTTCTGAATTTGTCACACCCCTGTGCGTCATCTGAATATTGCAACATCCAGTCCACACTACATGTGTCCCTTCTATGAACTTTTAAGTAAGACTCAGATGCGTTGATGAAGTATTGGGAGAGTGTTTGCTATAAAAATATAGATTTTGTTCCAAATGGGTTTTTAATACCATTATTTCTCTTTACAGTACTACCAGCTCAACTGCAAGCAGTTGTGATACAGAATTTACAAAGGAGGATGAACAGCGGCTGAAGGATTACATCCAGCAGTTGAAAAATGACAGGGCAGCAGTGAAACTGACAATGCTGGAGCTGGAAAGCATCCACATTGATCCCCTTAGTTATGACGTTAAACCTCGTGGAGACAGCCAGAGGCTAGACCTGGAAAATGCGGTCTTGATGCAGGAACTTATGGCAATGAAGGTATCTTTTTTTTTTATATCCAACAGGCTAACTGCACTGCTGACAATGCCCCTGTGCTACAAAGCATGCTCAGTCACACACACAGGAGGCTTTGATAGTGATCACTGGGTGATAAAGGGTAACTTTGTTGAAGCAAATCATCAGGGCTGAAAATCCAGTAGTCAGAAAGTGACAGAAGGCAGTGCGTTAACAGTGATGAGCTATGTGTGTTTTGAATTAGGCAAGGACTTCATCCGTGGCTCTAAACTTGGAATGCTCTCCTTGGCAAACCAGATGCTCTCTCTAAGAGATATGGCAGCTGAGTTGCTCGAGGGTGACCAAAAGCATGATACAGCACTTCCCAAGAGACAGTTCATTACATTACTTACAAGCTTGCAAATGTGCATCTTGAATATTTGTCAACTGAAGCAGAACAAATTCACCTCCTTTTAATATTGCCATGGGAGAAGGAATGGTCTGTCAGAAGCTATCATCCCTAACGCTGTCCAGCAGTCAGTCACAAGTCCAGAGCTGTTCTAGGCACTGTGTTGCAATCTGTAGCTCAGTTCAGAGCCCAAGCAAAGATTGTGGTGTGTAATGACTTGCAGTAACAGAGGTTTCTGGAGAAAACTCTGGTCCTTCAGGCCTGGTTTATTCATCCAGTTCTAAAGATGTGATCTAGAAAACCTGACCTTTATTGACCAGGTATAGAGCTTATATCATTTTAAATCTGGCTTCTCTACTGACTTTGAGAGAGGGGAACTAAAATGTAGGAACATATTAAAGGCACATCAAGCATGTGTCTGCATTTAGAAATTGTCTGGTTGTGGTTCAGTTTAAATAAATTTAATTTCTGCGTGTTAGCAAGTCCTATTTTAGTCAACTAATGGCAGATACGTCAGATGATGGTATCATGTGGGACAGCAAATCCTAATAGTTTTGTAAGCTTCTAAAGCTATAGATTTTTGTTCAGATGTGCTACTGCTGGCTAACTGGTAGCTTAGTAGTGATAATTATGTTGTTAGTGGTGCTGCCTTTCCGTGATGACAAATACAATTTTGCAAAAATGCATTCAGTATTTTCAGTTCAGAAAAAAAGATTCTGCCTGCTACCAGTCGGAAGATTTAAAGTTATGTTAGTTGTGTGAATATATTATGGCCAACAGCAATATATTGCCCATAATTAAAGCATGCAAGATGTACTGAAAAACATTTATAGATAATTGGGTGCAGATTTCAGGTATCACACTTCCTTCTCCTCCTTTGTGTCCAGATCTTCCCTGAAATCTCTTGTACACCATTCTTACCTCTGTCTTAAATTGATTGGTAAAGACAAACTGCAGAGTTATCCCTTGTGATTAGTACCCTTGCATTCCCTGACCTGGCAGGAACACCAACAGTTGCATATCATGTCTGGCACAGTTTTGAGTGCTGGTAATCCTTTTGTTCACTAAACATCTAACTTGTTTTTGACATATGGTGTCCACTCATATCTTTTGGGTTTTCACTGTAGGAATTGTCCCTAGAAGAAGAAGAACAAGAAATCTTTCTTCTTGGTTGGTTTGTGTGCAGTGCATACTGGAACAGACACACATTTTACATAGGTGGCTGAAGTCACCTTCAGTCCTTTCTGGTACAGAGAAACTGACGGTACTGTTTATTCATTGTAATTTGTGGTACTTTGCTGGAATTCACAACTGCAGGAAATCCCTAGGTTTCTGAAAGGCATGTGGTGAGAACTCAGGTTTGTCAAAGCTTGGAATGGATTTGTTGGTAAGTGTCCTCCTGCTACAGAAATTAAAAACTCCTGCCTTTCTTGTACACATAAAGCATTACAAAAGGCATAGCTACACTCTGCATGCTTTGGTCCCAAGAGAATGTGCATCCTTATTAGCATCCATGTTTGTTGCTCGGGTCTGCATTACACCTTGCTCATATGTTCAGCAAGCTATAACATAGCTGAACTTAAGGGCAGGACTCATGGATGTCTTGGCTTTCTGGGTGTATTGTTTGTATCTATTATTTGGAACATGTACCTCATACAGAATAGCATATGCATCTGCCTCCTTCTGAGGCAACTGGAGAATTTAAATTTCCTTATGGTATTTTATTTAACTTGAAGCAGATGGACTCATCTGTGCTGCAGAGGACTTCATCATGTAGCAGCTCTTAATTTGTTCCCTCCCTTCCACATTCTTAAAGGATGATACAGCTTGATTCAGCTACTCAAGGATTTCCTGCATTACTGGGTCTTACGACCTGCTGCTGTCTTCCTGAAACTTGTATCTGTGTTGGAATCTCTGCTGCATCTTTTGGCACCTTTCATTTATGACTCTCGGTAAAAACAGTAAAAAATGATCACCACATCAGTCATGTTGCTTCTTGCATCTATGTGTTATGCTGATAATGTTCTGAAAATGCCTTTACACCATTAGTTCTTCATTATTGATGAATGATACATAAAAAGATGGTTTGGGGATGGTTTTTCTGTTGCCCTGTTTACTTTTTTAACTGATCCAGACTGTAAGACATAGTGGTCTGCCAGTACTCCTGTAAAATCCAATTCTTTGCTTCAAGCAATAATTAACCATGTTCCCAAATATATTCTTGTCCGCCGTTTGTCATCATTCACTAGTCTTGCTTTGAGGTCAGTTGTTGTCATGCCCCAGTTAGCAAGGAGATTACTTCTGATGGGTGTAAATAATTCTTGGTTTACAGCCTTTCTGCATTTCAAAGGACTTAATCTAGATAAGAAGTCTCAGCTTTCTACACTGATAATTTTTCCTCTTTTGTGTGCAGGTGGTGATAATATTGCTCAGAATGTGCTTTGAGACTACAGTTTCTTTGCAGAAAATGTTAAGAATCCTGTTGTCCACCTTTGTTACAGCATTTCATGCTCTTATAGATGTACTTAGTAAAATACAGTTAACTAGAGCATGGCATTTATCTGCTCTGATATTTGTTTTACTTCTGAAGGCTGGTATATTCCACCTTGTGTACTGTGAACCTCCTGGAGTCCCTTTTCATGACTTTTAGAACTTTTGCCACATAAGAGTCCTTGCTGTCTTACTCTTCTGACATGACCACATCCAACACAAAATTTAATTTTGAGGATGCTGTTGTGTTTCTGATTATATTGAGTCAGGAGTGTTTAAATTTTCATTCCAGCTTTCACCCAAATTCAGAATTACAGAATTACAATATGACTGCAAGTACAAAATATTCCTCAATATTCAATTAATGAGTCCTGAAGTGATTGCTAGATTTGGTGCTTGAAGCTTGTGAATTTGCATGGGTTGTATAAGCCTTCTGCAATCAACTGGAAGAGTGCCCACTTGCTATCTCCTCCTTCAGGGTTTCATTTTGTAAATGCCGCTTGTGTTTTAGGCCTACACTCTGAAGAAGTATATGTTAAACTGCAAAATGTTTCACCAGCATCCTGTAATTAGGAAAGAAAGGGATAGTAGATATACAAAGGTGATGTTGTCATTGAAATGAAATTTAGATGCTATCTTTAGAAAACATATTTTTGTGGAAAAAATTATTACATATATAAAGACTAATTAACTCTCTAAGTAAACCTGAGCTACTTAAATTTTCCCACATGAAACGTTACTGTTGCCACCCTGCCTCACAGGTTGTATGTGTCCATACCAGAATCCTCAATTGTAGTTTTCATTTTTAATTTCAACCTTTCCTTTCCTTCCTGTTCCTTCCCTGGGAGCCATTGCAAGACACTGGCTGACAGTTCTTCCACTTTTGCCCTGCTTTGTCTTCGCTTCTGTACTTCAAAGTCACATTGTTTTGACATAAGAAAACTAACGTATGGGTGGTGCTTTTGGAGTCCATGATATGTCTTCTGGGACAGGATGCAAACTTTTGGATTCATATATGATGATCTAAGCCTACTGTCTTCATAAACAAAGGCGTTAAGCATTGATCCTCAAATTTATTTTGAGCTAGGATACGTAGTAAAACAAACATCCAGTCTTTAAGTTAAAATTTTTAAGTGATGGGAAAAATCAGTTCTGCAGATTCATTGTTACAGTGGTTAAATTTACCTTTTTCTTTTAGGAAATAAATGTCCCTTATTTCTAGGCTGAATTTGCCTGGCTTCAACTTCCAGCCTGAGAAGATCTTGTCATGACCCTCCCACACAGATAGCCCTCTGTCAAGAGTATCTTCTGTTCACATAAGTGCCAAAATACTCTGCTCAAATTACTTCTCAGACTTCACTAAGCAGGCTAAGTAGATTAATGGCTTTAGAAATAGAGGCTTAAGAAGCTAAATGCATACACTTAACTATACCAGACAATCCAGTTCAACTCCTATAACTAAATTTCCCCATCATTATTTATCAGTATTATTTACATTTTTACTGTTGACAAAGGAAATTAATGGTAATTTTGCTTAACAACTAAATTCCTGTAAACCACATTGAATGAAACTGATTGTGCTTTTAACCTTCAGTTCACAAACAAGTAGATGAATAAATGAATGATTTTAAAGCTCATACGAAGCTTTCCAAGCCTGAAGGTTTTTAGCATAAGGATTTTATTTTTGCCTGGTTGGTGATTCTGAATAAGCCAATGATTACCTGTGATTACTATATGCTGGTTGTAATTGTGCTACACCTGTGTGCACTGCTTACACTTAATCCAGACAGCAAATTTTTGGTAGGAACGTGGATTCTCTTCTTAGTCTTTAGACTACAGGAAAAGTTAGTCTAAGTATGTTCCAAGATTTGTGTTTGTATAATCTTTGTTAATAATGGGTATAATACAAAGAGCATTATTTTTGAAGGATAAGGTAAGATACCTCTGATATTTTTGTGACTAGAATATGTGGTTTTGTTTAAAAAAAATAATTTTTTATTTATAAAAAATAGTGATTTGCTCCTCAGCTGGCCGTACAACAAGAAACTTACACAGTGAACAAGCCTAGAACTGAACTGTAATACAGAAAATGGCTGCAGAACTCAGTATTCACCCATGAGGTGACCTAGGGCATGGCAAGCTCAACAGTGGGAACATGATTCTGGTTGGGTTTTTTTGTTTATTTTGGCGGTCTTTTGTTTGTTTGATGGTGGTTTTTTAACCCATAATGTAAATTATATTTTAGGACTACTTCTTTAAAGGTTTTGTGGATGATGGGTTTTCCTGGGTTCAGAAAATAACTAGACATTTCATGGAAGAAACTTTTCTGAAGTGTTGTTAAACACAAAGAGCCTTCTGGTTCAGGATACCCATCAGCTGCTTTTTATGGGAGGCTGGGAACAAGTGCTGAGAGAAGGGTCACTGCACTCATGCATTCTTAGAGTTCTGCCCAGCCACTGTCAGAGCAAATGTTAAAGCAGAGGTCTGTCCCCAGATAGCAGTGGTTGTGTTACAATAGTTAACAGCTCTGTCATAAATGTGAGAGTGGCAGAAGAATTGAACACAAGAACTAGCTCTCAGAATTGAGCTTCTTTCTATGAAGTACCAGTGTCCATCTTCTGTGGATCATATTTATGGAAGAATATAAGTAAGTGCAATTTTCTCAACCTGCAGTTGTGTTTAGTTGGAATTCTGGCCATCTAGAGGAGGGAAATTAAAAATGGACATCCAATGGTGCCATACCCACTTGCCCTTTTTGACTAACTCATTCTACCACAGAGGCTGGTATTATGAGGCAGGAATATGTGGTCTGTGTTTGCTGTCCTAGTCCCTCAAACCTATTCCACTGTAATGAGATAAACCAACTCTTATGTATCAATAAGAAACTGGACTCTGGCATTTAGAGAACTGTTTGATAAGAAAGTCAGACACTCCTCTTTTTCGGGCAATGGTCTCTGAAGGGCAAGGTAGAACCAAAGAAATGTCAGCAGCTGTGGCAACCCTCTCAGATCCCCGGTACTGTAGTTTCAGTGGCACATTAGCTGCTCTGTTGCTTCTGAGCATATTTCTGAGGCTGATTAAGGGATGGCACAGCTCATCATGCTCACTTAGTCTCAGAACATACTGGTCTTTTGACAAATATACTGTGTGACTATAAAAAGCCTTCTGGAGCCTGATAGCATTCTCCATGGAAGGAACACTCAAGTAATAGGAGTGGACAAAAACCTTGTTTAACGTTGTCTTTAGGTACATAGTTCCATGAAGCAGCATGCTGATAATGTTTCTTCAACAGGAGGAGATGGCAGAGCTCAAGGCACAGCTTTACCTGCTAGAGAAGGAGAAGAAGGCATTGGAATTGAAACTGAGCACTCGAGAGGCCCAGGAGCAGGCCTACCTTGTCCATATTGAGCACTTGAAGTCTGAAGTGGAAGAGCAAAAAGAGCAGAGAATGAGGTCTCTCAGCTCAACCAGCAGCGGAAGCAAAGACAAATTGGGCAAGGTCAGGAGTCAAACAGGTTTCCAAAATCGGCATAGACACAATTTATTGTACCCTTGCCCCCCCATAGCAGTCTTTAGCATGTTAATCATTCTCCTCTTTTGTCCCCATGTACGTCTTTTCTCTCTTCTCCATTTGTTAGGTGGTTCTTTCCATGCGGTACTTATGAGGACTTTGCAGAATTACTGTTAAGCTTAGGCTAAAATAAGGTGGTCATTACAACAAAGCCATTCTTGCCAAACGTACGAGCTACTGTGGTTGAATACGCTGTGTCTTGCCTGTTGCCACTCACTAGAAACAGTGGAAGAGAGTCTAAGCAAAACACCATCCTCCCCCTACTCCAGACACAAAATATGAAAAGATAGAGCTCATTTCTATGAAGCAGTTAGAGCACTGTAATGACGGTCTCTTTTTCCAAGTCAGATAATTTGTAGTGATTTGAGAGCGAAGACTTTTCCCCCCTTGGTATGATACAAAATAAACAGCCTTCTGCATTTACATTAATAATTTTCATGAAGAAATAGTGATACCTAGAAAAACTTCAATCCTGTAATTTTAGTGCTGTGTCCCCAGAAAACCTAGTAATATGTTTAAAAACAAAATCCAGGGCTAGTGTGTAACTGTGTCTTTCTTACTTGTTTCTGGCAAAGCATCACCTGACTTGTTTGATCTGGTGCTTCTTTGTTTCAGGTGTGGTCTCAAAAGTAATATAAGGCACCAGCAGTTACACACACTGTAGCAGAATTCTGCAAATGAGTGCGCTGTGGTGGTTTAGGAAACATTTAGAAGGATTTGTGAAGTGTTAATCTGTTAGTCCATTTCTTAGTATGTTGATACACTGCCATGTTGTTGTGACATTGTGATGTTTATTTCACCTCCATTTTAAAAGTAGCTGCAACTAAGAGGTTTTCAGAGTTTTCCCATTAAGATGGTAAATAACTTCACATTAGACAGCCTTTCCTCATTTCTCAGGAATGCAGTGATGGCACCGCAACACCGTTAACACTGGCTGAGCTGAGGCCGTACAACGAGAGTGAACTGACTGCTGAACTGACAAACGCACTCAGGCGGTAAGCAAATTCCTTCACCAGGGACACGACTTGTTCTGTAGGTCCAGGGCAAGGTTTAGTTCTGAGCCTTCACTTTTACCCTCAAGTGATTTTAAGAGTGACCACAGAGTTTTTCCTGTGAGAAAGAAAAGGATTGAAGTTCTTATAACCTTCCCCTCTCTTTTGGTGTTGTTCTTCAGCTGATAAAAATCTTCACACAGTGCTTAGCTCCATTCTCCTTGACGTTGTCTAAAATTCAGATAAGCTGTATCCCTAAAAAATCCCCAAAATGTCAGGAATGTCCATATTCGGGCAATAATGTGAGACACAAAACAGTGACATGGCTTGCTTGAGAGCATGCAGAAAACCTTTAGTGAAGACAGGATTTGAAGTGTGATCTTTGGTGAAGGTTGATCACAGATTAGAACCTGGGTAGGAGTTACAGGAACGGGAATTGCAGTGATTTTGATGACTCAGATGCTGCATTTGCCTCCTGAGTAGGTAAGTAAAGCCACAGTTCAATTACGAATGACATTGTTATGTGAAGCATTAGCTTTCCAACAAGAGAGAAAATTGATGTCTTGACAAACTGCTTTTATCAACAGCCAGGTTTTAAGCCAAAGCTTTCAGTACAATTATACATTAACTAGATATTTGTTTGTGCAGCACTTTTTGCTGCACCTACTATGTGGTAAACTTCATGACAAAGATATTCACTGTTTCAATAGTTGTTTCAGTACTTGTTCCACCTTTTCTAAGACACAGCTATCTAATATCTAATCTGGTTATTGTATTTAGAACCTATCCAAAATGTTACTAAGAATTTTGGCTGGGAAGAGTGTATTTTGCTTTTCTGGTGTTTGCACCCTCTGTAATGGTGGAATGTCCTCTCAGGCAGCTGTGGTGTTTCACTCCCAAAGTGCTTTTCTCATAGGTGCCACTTGTAGTGTACCTAGGGACACTTAAGCCTGAAAGGCATTATGTAAAAATGTAAGATCGTTACCGCTGCAGAATCGATACATCTCATACCATTTGCTTAATAGTCTGGCAGTTGCTGAGTATGTAGTTTGCTTGATGCAGGAAACAAAATTCTGTGGTTAAAATAATCAAAACTCTCATTTGTGTGTGGGCGGATAAGACCCATCAAGAAAGTCATTTGCATAAACATTGCATCGAGCCATTGGCCTCCCCCATACCCCCCACACTCCAGTCCCAGTGTGAGCAGCTCCACTGGCATTTTCTGTCTTCACTCAAGCTGCAGCTTTTTCCTGTTCTTGTTATTTGCTCCTGAATTTCGAAAAGATGCCAGTGACCTTAGTTAGCGGATGCTTGAGTATAGTCATGAAATGTGGTTTGCTGACAACACAGAGAAAAAACCCTTTGCTTTATCTACTAGGCCTTAAGTTGATTAGCATGGATTTCCAGCCAGGGGCCTAGCAAGTACAGTTTGTCAGACAGAAATGGGGAAGAAAAACAATCGGATTAAACTGTACATAAATTTTGGAGTAAAGACTCTGTGTAATGGAAATAGGACTGTACTGAATGTGATTGCTACTGCCAGTGGGGCTCAAGCACTGTTCCCGCGAGCTGTGTGGACAGGGTATTTTTCTCCCTAATCAGTGTGCCAGCCAAATCAGGCTGAATGCTTAGTCTCCTTATCCTGAAGTCTTCTCTCTGGAAGTTGGTAGAAAGTCTGTCTAGCACATGGAGAAAGCTTACTGCAACCTGTTTAGCTACAGCTGTGCTAAAAAAATACCAGCAGTTCCTAACTGCCGTCCTGGATAAATGGATCCTCAGATATCACAATGAAATTTATACCATCATGGATCCACAAAAGAGTTTTAAAAATAACGTGCGTTTTTCTCTCTGCAAATGCTACAGCAATGCAGAATGGTCTAAAGTGACTGTGATATCCTTAGGGACAAAGCAGATTTAACTCTTTGCACTTAGCATGTGCCGATCCCTCAATGCTCTTCTCGCTTGTATGGGAAAACAAGTGCTGGCGCTGTGTGCGAACTGGGAGAGATGCTGGCAGCTCCCCCTAGCACCCTCCTCACCCACCAAAGAAACAGGACCAGAATTCAAGATAAAAAATATTTTGCCCAGTAGCTGTGTTTGCTGGGGGACAGGAGAGAGATGTGAAACAAGTGAATATGCACACTGAATCTGTTGTCTAGGTGCTGTATGTAGATGCCAGTGTTCAGGAGTATTTCAGTGCTGGTTGCAATTAATGCACACATCCAGCAATTGGACCTATCTGATGTTACTCCAGGCAGTAGACACTGGTGCAGGGGATAGCAGCTGCAAGGATAGGGGCAAAAACCGATTTGCTTTTGAATCTTTCTGTTTGTCAGAAAATGTGATATCAATCAGCAACCCTGCTGGCTGCCCCCTCCCCATCCTGTCTTCACAGAGATGAAAGCCCTGGCAGCTCCCCGCTCTGCTGCTTTCCCATTCTGTCCTTCTGTTGCTGCAGAAGTGTCAGGTTCTTCTCAGTTAATTAAAATAGAGTGAAACCCAAATAAAACAGCAGGACACAGTTATGGTTTGGATTTTGGTGTGTTTTGGAAGCATTTATTTGTTCATAGTCTGCAAATGGCTTTGCAGTAGAACAGTCTCGTCCACAGAGGTAGCCCATCTTCTCTCTGCACATGTGGATTTTCTCGTAAATCTGGAATCCAGCAGCGTGTTACGAAGCTCCCCGAGTTGTCACTGGTAGTGCCCATCAGCAGAAATTCAAGGCAGGAGCAATTCTTCCTTTGTTGTTTCATAACATATGTGTTCTAGTAGTGTTTCCCATAGCAGTGTTCAGCACTAAAACCCATCTTATGAGCTTTCCACAGAAATCGCTTTTCTTATCCATGACCACTATGCTAACTAATAGAAATGTAAATTATCTGCAAGTTCCATGTTGAAAAAGTTACATCTAGGTTACCAAATTTCTGGTATTGCAAGCTAAGGCCACTAATTTAGAAACACATCCTGTTCCAGCCAAGCATAAATACTTTCTGCCAGATTCTTTAGTAATTTTGTTTTCCGCTCTCTCCTTTCTTGATGGTATGATGGAATGTTTCAATGGACATGAGGCCTCTTGAGTTTGACACATCCATAAGCGAGCTTGTTGGCAGAAAATGCTTTGTTCTTGGGAGGGCAAAAATATATTCCCAGCAGCCTCATGGCCTGGCACTGACACTTCAATGATTGTGCCAGAGGCCAGTTTTATGAGAGAGGATCTGGTTGAATACCCCAAAATCAGGCACATGACACAGTCTCCGAGGGTGACTTTAAAATGACATCTTCCTTGCTGGTGTGTTCTGCTCTGCTGCAGTAGGGGAAGGGAGCACTGTAGATGACTTGTATGAGTTTATAACTTAGTAGGCACATACCAGGTTATAAATGCATTAGATGGCAGGAAGGAAGCAGTAAGAAGATAGGAAATGCTCTTGCTTTAGCGGGGTGATAATAATGGTGATACAACTAATCTTTTTTTTTTTTTTTTCCTGCTAAGTTCTTTCATTCTGTGAAGAATGGCCAAGCTGGCAACACTGAAACGTCTCCCTCTCGCCAGGCCTTATTAGAAATGCTTTGATTGTTGAGGTCCTCCTCCAGTCTCTCGTTGTATTTCCAGTTGCTGTTAGCTTTTCTGTCTGCGTAGGTTTGTATTTTGTGTATATACTTAGAGAATCCTTTATAAGCATTAAAATATTTGGGCAGGAAGGATCTGACAAGACTAGGTAAGGGCCATGGCAGACAAAACACTTTGTAACTAGACTGACTGTTCAGACCTCAGCTGGGTCATCAGTTGGCGCAAAATTATGACCTCTGATGGCTGTGCAGGGTTACGTGAATTGGGTCAATCTAGACATGTTTCAGTATCTCACTCACAAAAGGGTGACTTTCCATCTGGCAACACAACAAAGCAGCTATATATTTACCATGTCTGATGACTTTTGAACTGAGAGATAACCTAGTAAGTGATGCTACTAATTGAGAAGTCGCTACGGAGAGGGAAGAGAGTGGTAATCAGTAGGACTAGCAGATGGTTCTTTTTCTCTTAACAAAAAGTGTATTTTGCACAGAGCTATGGTCCTGCCTCTTGGGAAGTGGAAACTGCAGGTATTTCTAGTAGGACATAGAAAATGCATCCTACTGCAATAGCTTCTGTGTGTCTGTTGGGATACAGTAGTATTCTTTGCAGTCTTATGTCCTTATGCCTGTCCAAAGACCGCAGCCCTGTGTTGTGCCCAACTTCTTGTTTTGAGAGAGCAACTGCTTCAACAGAAAGCTGTGCCAAGGCATGGCAGTGACTATTTCCTGACACAATGTCAGCCAGAGCTAAATCAAGCCACCTTCCTTTATTTTAAACTTCCACAAACTTCATGTGATGACATCTTAGTTTGGCATGTTTTCAAGGGCCACCCTTATTTTCGTGATAGCGGGATCCAGGAGTAACTAGCATCTCTGAAATTCAGGCCATCTTGACCATCAGTAAGGCTAAGTCTTGGAAATGAAAAGAGAAGTGCCTAAACCATACCATATTGTAATGATTCAGATTTAAAATGGCTCTTAAGAATTGAATCAGTAAAATCTTCTTTGTGTTTGGCCAAAGTACATGATGAACATACAGTGGATAAAAGTCGGGGGAGGGAGGCAGGGGTTGGTATTCAGGAACTGCTGATGAGTTTTTCCAGTGCATCATCAGCTGCTTTTTGTCACTTACATTTGCTTATTTCTATTCTGTCATTATCACATCCATTAAATAGGGTGATATGCAGCTCTGAGACATTTGAAAGCCAGGGACTGGCATGGATTGCAGTTATTGCAAATTTCAGGGATCTCTCTCTTTTTTATGACTGTGCAATCTCCTGTTGTGGTTTTCCTTGACTGCCTGAGGGGTTCAGGAGCATGGCCTGTCTCCGGAAATCCCCCCTGGAGAGCCCCACTGAGGGAAACCTTCTCACAAGAAGAAAAATTTCTCATGGTGATATAAGGCACAGATTCCTCAGAAGTGCCTTGGGTAG